ACGCTCATTTTGAAAAAGGAAATGATGATGTAGTATAGCAAACCGACGTAGCGGTGACACTAATATGGGAGAGTAGCTTGATTTTTGGAGTAAAGCAAAAAGCGAGATTTTTTTTTGAAAAGCAGAAAGGATTGAAGGGAAAAAATGTTAAACAGGACAGTATGCTGTTAGTTTATTTATGCTTTGTCTTATACTTTATCTTGACTACTTTCATTATCAAGAGAGAAAATTATAATTAATTCTTGGAGCTTGCCGAAGAAAATACTGCGGCACATTTGTTCATCTCTTATAAATAGACGCATGGCTCCGAGGGAGGAGGGTGGGCGAAGGTACGATAACAGTATATAAAATTGGTCGCATAAAATTTCCAAAAATCTTACCAGAAAAGGTAATTATGGGTTAGTACGAAATATTGAATGGTGCAATGGAGAATGAGCACAAAGAATATGAAATTTACGATAACTAGCTATCTTATCCTACTATAAGTGTCAAGTCCGCTTTAGACAGCTTACAGGTATGATTTGACTTACTTTGCAACCCGCCTGCTGAGGTTTCTTTAATAAAAACACAGTCAAATATACAAATAAAAATAATGGAGTGACAATTTTGCATCGGTATTTGACTGTTTTAAGTAACGGAATTTCTTATCGGTCTTGAAAAACGATATTAGTTAGCATTATCATCATTATTAATAAGATTGTTACAAGTAAATTTGAGTTACATAAACTATAACGAAGAAGGTGCAATTAAAAAAGAGAGAGAGAGAAACCGTGCACAGAATACAAGAAATCAAGACATAATTATGATAACGTAAAAAATTGTATGATGTAATTTATTGTTAAAGTTGTATTCGACTGCGAATACCAACTTTCTGAGGCCCATTGTTCAAATTAACGTAAGTGAACGAATTATCGATTGTTTCGCTTTGATGACCTCTACTGCACAGGGCCGTTACAGTATCTATAATAAAACCGTACACTTGTATGATACCGTGCATGCAAAAGCAACTATATGACATTGAATACTTAACGTAATAATCGCGTGCAAAAGTCGCTTGCACATTGCAGATACCTAGAAATCGGCAGGGCACTATTTTAAATTGATAGTAAAGGCAATTTTAAATATTTAAAATTTTTGTTTTAAAGATTAGCAACCGACTTGTTTATTTTCCATAAAAGTGTATTTGTTACCATAACGCAATAATATAACTTCTGTTTGGACTTACGCAATAAAGATAACTATTGTTAGTACAATGTTTAATAGTCCGACTATCCACCGAAGAAATACACTTTACAAATATACAGCTCATATGTATATTACAAAAACAATTTCTTATTGTATTATCTGATAAGATGTACAAAATGACTTGTCAATTAACTCCTCTTTCCCTTCTCAATTCCTCTTGCTTTTCTGCCACGACCTCTCAACGAATATGTTTTACGTTCAGGCAGCTGTTATGTAAAAATAAATAAACGTTAATAATGTAATTTTTTTTACCAATTTTATTGATGCTGACATGTAAAAATACCTTCAACATTAAGATTGTCTGTTTCATTTCTAAATTTCTCCTCGAGGGCGCCAAGAAGCTCACTCAGCGTCTCCTCAATTTGGGAGAGCTTTTCTCCGATGTTCTTCCGGGAAACCCGCCCCGGCCTCTGACGCCTCTCGGCGTATTCGCACACGCTGCCTATGCGGCTACAATTGCCGCACGGCATACCGCGCGTGCACTTCACCTTTTTTTGTTGGCATGACGTACATGCCACGGAGGGAACTTGGCTTTGAGAAGAGGTATTGGAAGTGCTTGAGTTTGACGACATTTTTTTGTTTTTCAAAACAGTAGTGCGTTGGGATTTGCACAAAATTGACTTCACACCCACCCTTTTTATGCGTAAGGCGAAATATTCAACCAGTGTAACAATCCCAGTTGAAAAAATAGAAAAAGTCGAGTGAAAAGTCATATTTTTTTCAGTCTACGAAAATATGATGACACAAAATTAAAGTTTGTTAATTCCGTATGGTTGTGGTTTGTATAACTCGAAAGTTCATTGAGATAATTGGGCCAAAAATTGGGGCTGGCGTACAAAAAAAATTCGTCATTGTATTGTTCTCGCTAGCATTGAAAAAATGTACTGCAAATAAATATTAATATATGATTATGAATCCAATTTGCCCCTTATCATCATAGTAAATATGTAATTAGAATAAAAAGACGATGAATGCATTCAAATGATTAGGGTTAGAGTGCACGTGTTACAGCATTTGCATTGCGGTCCGTCTTGCGATAACAGCTTGTGAGTCAATGGTTGGGTTTGTTTGTAATTGAAAATTTCCTTAATAAACTCATTTAGTTGCTTATTGTGAGTCCCTCCATTGGATAACTCTTTATATCCACAAATGCACCCACACAGGACTATATCAAAGTATTCCACATGCGGAGTAGAATATCGAGAATAATAACCGTAAAAGCAACATGTAATGATTGTCGTCATATTTGGCACATCTCCTTCTATGAATTGGTTGCCCTCCTTAAGCCATTTTGAATATCTTACTGACATTATTATTGTGCTTGTGTATCGCAAGTGAGTATATTCTGGCAAACTCACTCACAAACGAAATTTCGTTTCCAAATATAATCATCGTGAACATCGTAATAAACGTTGTCGATTTGAGTTGGCTTTATGTCAGTGAATTGCGAACAAGGGATCCATGTCAGTCTTAAGTATCTGTATTTACTTCCTGAGGGGGCCAAACCAAATTGTCAATTGCTGGATTATCAGCAGTCCCTGATGCCAACAGTGTTGTTAAAATTTGTTAAAACTATTTTACTAAACCGTGGTAACAATTAGTAAGCGCACTAAATGCGATAAATATGGTTTATTCCAGAATGTTCGAAATCGTGTCTACGGTTAATTTCAGTATCTAATTTCTATCCTAGAAGATTAAATACTGCATAACAGTAATCCGGGCAAAATTACAGCACTTGTTTTGTTTACCTCCCAAACGTGTCGTTGCTAGCCTGTACATCTCTATGACATACTACTATCCTTTACACGTTTGGAAATAAAACAAACGGTCGACACTTAAAAAAGAGCAAGTGATAGAATAATTCGGTTTAATGGCATAGCAAAAAAAAAACAGACAGAGAATGAGCAGTAGATTATTGATGAACCAAAACTATTAATATCTGTTGACGATACAGAATATCATATTCTTGATACACGTGACTTTACAATAATCGCAAAAGGAAAATGTTTAGTCCATTCAACCGCCAATTCGCTATTGAAACGAAGTGGCGTTCACTAATAAAATCCCCGTTTCTTTATTGGGCTCGACTACTTGGGAGAGGTGTTTTAACATTCTGGATAAAGTTTATTTCATATTCAAAGAATATGGAAATGCAGCTGAACCGAAAATAGTGACTTCGTAGGATAACACCTACTACTACTTGTCGTCCAGAGGACAGAGCTGAATCATTACGGACGAGAATTTACAAAAAGAAGATTGGGAAAAAATAAAAGAATAATGATTTCGCATATTCGTATTGAATAATGGGAGGGCGTATGATCGGTTAATTAACCAAACACTCTGTCTGGTTAATCACAAAACTCGTGCTCTTCAATTCAATCATTACATTACATTCACACTCACATCATTTCCCCAATCTTTCCAATCTTTACGTACACCCTTTTTAACTCGCGCGAAACACACCTCAGATATACACCCTCCTTAAATCTCCTGGTAATGTAATCTTCTGACATTGCGGACATACCTTCTTCACACCTAAAGACTGCAACCAACATTTTTCACAGTGTACATGCCAGCAGATGATTGATGTGAGCGGCGTGTCGTAAGTGTCAAGGCAGATTAAGCATCGAGGAATGTTGGTTTGCGATTCCTTTTTAAGAGGGGATAAATTGGTATTATCAAATTGCTAAGAATGATAAAGCTTTTTTATGGTTTACGTACCAGTTGCCGAATACGTGCTTTAAGTGACTCTTCCACTAGGCTGGAATCTGCTGGAATATCTACTAGAGGTGTGTGTAGGGATCGGATCGCGGATTAACGTGTCTGTCAGAAGGTAAAAAAACAGCGAATGCATTGACATACCCGTAATATCACACTCTTTCTTCTTATCCCTCTTTGTACGCCCATTTGAAAGGTTTGATCTAACGAACCAACGATTATTCAAACACTTTAGAGATTAAATTTCATGCCTCTTTACATATTCACATTTAAAAGCCTATCTTACATCGTATTCACAATCTTGTTCATAAGACATACCTGCCATTTCTTCGACCTCCAACAACCAATTCCCTTAAGCGAGTGGCAACTTCATCTTCGCTAATATTAGTCATTTGTATGATGTCGCTCTCCGTATACTGGGCCCGACCGTAAACATGCTCGTCATCGACAACGTCCACATTTAGAATTTCATCGTGATCAGCGTGAGTTTGAGGTCGTTCGGAGCAGGCGTGTGATGGTGTTAGGCGCAAAGCTTAAGTGAGGAACGAGTATCAAACGAGTTATAATTTGACGCGACGTAATAATATCACAGTTGCTTCTTATCACTCAAGATATACGTTTATTCTCATCTCCGCGTACTTTTCCCACCCATTCGCTCCCCTCTGCCAAAGATCGTCATACCTGCCCAACCACCCTCGACCAAAGACACCGTCCTTACACGTGTTTGTCCGGCCCAGGTGTACTCTTCGTACTCACCTGATACGTTATTACAGTTGGTTGCTATAGTTTGTGTATACGTTGGTGAGGATCTTGAATTTCGTGACTTGATTGGAGAGAAAGAGAAAAGGGTAGATAGAGAAACATAGAAAAGGTAAAAGAAATATCGTTGATTTGTCTGTTGAACAGGTAGGAGACCTCCATAATATCCTTTGGCAGAGACTCGAATCAGCCATTTTTTACTCCCTTTCAGATCCACACATATAAAAGAGAGCGATACTTACTCTTTTCGCATAGTTTTCTAAACAGACATCAATATGTTGATTAACATATTCGATATCGTTACGAAGCACTATTCCACACAGGCAACACCTCTGTGTTTGTTCTCCATCTTCACGCGTCATCTCATTGAATATCATTTGCTCATCTTTCTCGCACAGACCAAACGTCTCATCACACTCTGTCTCGCCATCAACGCCCATACTAGTTTCATTATCGTTAGCATCTTCATCTTCGTTAACATTGTTTCTCCGATGCTCCTAACCATTTTAGTTTGATTTTACAGAAAAGGATTTACACCTTTTTCGACTCTTTTTAGTGAATACAAAGCACGTAAGAGAGGTACAATGAATAGAATGTTACAGGAAGTTACCTTGGTGAAGGATGAATATGTGTTGTGATGTGAAGTATCGGTTTGGATATGAGATGGAGGGGGGGATCGTATTGGTTGTTTGCCTTTGCGCGTCACAATAAGGCGTTTGCGGGCTTGGTGTGCTGCATTACGTTTCGAGCGCATTCTGAGTTGAAAAAGTCAAAGATGCAGTATTAGAAGATAAAACAAATTTCCCTGCCTCATATCCCCGACCGAGTCTCTCATGGGAAAAGGAAAACTCCCCACAAAATAGGGGCAATTTGTGTGTGTATCATAATTCTCACCACTGCTACGCGTCTCACAATGTTTCTTAACCCTCTTTCCCTCACCCATCCGCCGCCTTCTCCACACCACACCACACCACACCACCTTCAACATACACCGAACACTCATCATTCCCATCCACTAAAACCTGCTTCTCCTGGTTCTCTGCCTCGAATGCATCATGTTGCATATTACACTGAGGGCATTGCAGTGGTTCCTTTAGGAATGAGGATTTGGCTTTTCCGTGATCGATCAAAACGTGAAAACGCAATGGATGGATCGGTGTGGAAATGAGTGAATCGAGCGTGTAAGCGTATCAAATTAGAAAGCAAGAAAGTTGAGGAAACACAAAGGATAACCAAAGAATACGGTAAGTATTAGCGAGAAAACATATGATGGATGATGCAAAAAAAAAATATACAAATAGTAAAAATGAGTAAGAGAGATTTCGTTGATTACATTTTTTCCTACCGCAACTATCATTACTTCTCGTTCGTAATCGCTTCTTACTATCCATAGCAGACATTTGCATTGTTTCTCTTCAATACATATTGAAAAATCAACTTAACTTTATTCAAGAATTTCTTTTCCCATACCCTGCTTATTATGCTTCCATCCTTTATTCTATCTCTTCATTGACTTACCCATTCATCGTAGAACTCTCCTCTGGTTCATAATCATCACGATCGTTACAATCATTACAATGATTGATAATATCATTTTCACAAGATCCGTTCTTAATTTTCATTCTTGTTCGGTTTGCTGTACAGGTCATTCTACAACTCTTATCCAATAAATTATGAATATTGGTAGGGGTTCCGTGTTTATGATCAAAAAAAGAAGAGAGAAGTAACGGGAAGGAGAGAAGTTTTACGTTGGATTCTTGAAATTGAAGAAACGGAATGGATGCGATTTGGATGAAAGTTTAATATTAAAGGATCTTTGTGGTAACACTGATGGAGGAGAGATTGTACGACGATGGGTTGGTCATGTGAAGGATAATGTAACTTTTTTTAATGAAATCAGGTGTTTGTGTATGGTCGGCAAAAGATGATAACAGATGACATTCTCGAAACCGTTCTCGAAGCTAAATCGCGGGAACCAACGACTGATTTCTTAGACTGGCCCTCAATGAGTATTCAATTATTAGCTAAAGAGACTGTAGGTTTACTAATTTTATTTAATCGGTTCTTGATGCTTCGATCAATGCTCATTCTCTTAATTCGCATTTGTAGGAGTTTCCAACGCCAGATGAAATAACCGCAAATCTTCACGCGTGCATATCATCTTGTGTGCAGTCTGGATCTGGGCCCAATTCTCGATTCTCCAAAGGCATTCTTGAAAGGCCATACCATTTAGCCTTATCAGAAATGATTAACAAGTGTTTTGCTAATGGCGGTTCGTTTCCTGAAGATGTTGTCAATAGTCAAGTGTATATGCTAGAAGGTGTTAATGTTGCAAGGTGAGGAACGCCTCAAAACAAAAAGCGTGACTATCCCATTGATCGTTGGTTCGTAACACAACATTTCCAATGTTGAAAATGATGCGAATAAAAAGAAAGCGTACAATTTCTATAGGCTGAAAGAAATAGAGCAACGAATGATTGCAATACATAATTCATGGGCTTCCATCTCACCATCACTATCAGAGAAGTTATCCACGTTAGAAGATTTTTTGTTTAAAGTTTGTATCAGGTGTCATCTTACAGGGTCAAAATCAAACTATTTTGCTTCTAATTCCAATGTATTTTATTTCATTTTTTTTTTCCAGTTTCTTACTCCAAAAGACGTAAACACGTTCCTAGGATTGCGCACGACAGTCGGATCTGCCGTCTATTTGCCCCCTTCGTTGAACGAGTGTGTAAATGCTTTTACAAAAATACACACAAAAAGTAAAGTTATAGAACAAAGTGGAGGGGAGCAGGGCAGTGGAAGTGAGGGGAGTATTGGCGATGGAGAAAATAAGCGTCGCAAAATCAAAGTAAACACTTTGACAGTAGGGGCAAAGGCTTTCTCCAAACATTGTCACAGAGACCGATCGAAAAATTTTTGGGGCACGTGTACGGGAAGTAAGCGGAATATTATGGCTGTTTACAAACTAATAATGCTAGATCTGCCCAAGATTCTACAATTCCCTTTTCCGTAATTTGGCCGTGACTGATTCGCTCGCTATGCTTTGTTTCAGCCGAAAAGCAAAAGAACGAACAAGCCAACCTTGTCCTGGCCAAGATTATAACCAATGCGGCATGGATTAATCTCCATTCACTTCCGGTATTTAAACAAGGGTCCCAATTCAAAGTTGAGAACAAATTTGATTGCTCAACTCAAGATTTCCCTGTTACATTCTCAGCATAACATACTCACATATGAGATACGCACCGCAGAAGGATATGGTGCACGATGGACACTGAATGCGCCGTTGACGTCAACTAATAGCTCTGCAACTCAAGCACCAACTCCATCTTCATCAAAAACATCACCTTCTGTGTTCGATTCTTCTCATTCTCCTCAAACTTCACTCACATTCCGCGGATTTTTAGAACCTCAGATGGAAAACGGACACGGGAAGAAGTGGATTCATTGATTATGATAAATATATTTATATACGTTAACGTAGTTTACGGTATTAAGACAGATTATTCGTTTCCCCGAATACAATAAAAACAATGTTATTGTAATCTTGAGATTATTATGGTCATCCCAATCACCGTACTCGTATAAGCAGTCCGTAGCAAATGCTTGTTATACCCTCATAATTAAACGTTATATGGAACCGATCGAAAAAACCAATCAAATACCGTCAAGAGATTTGATTGTTTCTTCGAGCTCCTGCTGAGCCCGCTGATGTTTCTCTTTCCATTCTTCAGCCTTTGTTTCGAGTTCTGATGTTTGGTTTTCGAGAACCTGGACTTTTCTTTCAGCTTGTTCTGCTCGTAAGTCGCTCTCTCGAAGTCTGAAGGTGTATGAACAGAGGAGGAAACGTTAATAATGCGTGAGACTATGTTGTCACCATGACGAATAACACAAAACTTTTTAATCCATATACCACATCAGTATCCGACCTAACTAAGCCCAAAACTCGCAGTAACTTACTTATTTGTCGTCTCAGCCAAGCGTTTCTCAGTTTCTTCAAGGTCAGCTTCAACCCGAGCAAGTTTATTTTTCACGTTTTCCAGTTCTTCCTCTTTAGTTCTCTTTTCCTCTTCAAGTACCTTCACCTGGGCTAGTGCTTCATCTGCACGTGCATTAGCAGCGTCTGCTTCAGCACGAAGGTTATTGACTCTCTAAATTAATATAATTTGTAACATAAAAACAAACACCCCGGAAAGAAAATCATAGAAGGTATTAATAGCTTTGGTAAAGTCTGCTGGACTTGTGATGATAGCAATGAGGGGACGTTATGTTATATTCTCTATTTGACGTTTAATTGAACGTCTAATTCTACAAATACCGGTGGGCTTTCCGCCCATCACTTTCAACTTATCCCTTCCTTAGTGCGTGCATTTTAACACACTCCGCTCATTCTTCTCACCCTCCACACTCTTTCTATACATGCTATGCGTAGCTCCTTCGCCTTGTTACCTCTTTAAGTTTATCCATGTTTCGGATTTCAGCAGACTGTTGGGAATAGGCTGTGTAGGTAAAAGGGTAACGACAACATGAAAAAAGGATTGTGATTAATATACGGGGACTTGATCAGTTGTGGCGTAAGTTTACTAAATTTGAACCCCTGAGCTAACACGTATTACAATCTCGCATAATGATATTAATATGGGACATGTTGAACATGACGCCACAGTAGCTTATCGCGGAGTCATTCTTATTTATAACAATTCGGCTAAATAATGCAAACACACGCACAAAGACAATATTGGGAAAAGTTGGGAATCTACATTTGAAAACGGCATCGCTATTTCTCATACCAAGAATGTGAAAATTCTAGTATGAAATATCAAAGAATAAACCATGCGTTTATTGGGGTAGGTTATAGGTTATAATTGTGGTAATTGCGTTTCAAGTTCTCTTCGATCTGAACAAGACATGTTTTCAATAGCACAGTTAAAAGCAATAGACAAAAGAATAATAAGCACCAGCCGACGTTTTAAAAAGAAAACGCGTACCCATTATAATTAAGACAACTTTTTACCATTGGCCTCGCAATATTATTCTTTACCATCTCATAAAGTTAGGAATTAAAGGGCATTATACACGAAAAGAGTGGCACAAATGGAAATGTCAATCGCATTACTATTACAGGTGAAATTTCTTTGTTTTTCCCTGAAAAGTTAGCTATCTGTCAGCCGGACTTTAATCTTTTAAAGCCTGGACCGAACGATACAACGAAAAGGAAACCCGCAGAGTGAGAGGTTGGCAGATGGTCTTATCAGAAGTCGTCACGATCAACTGTCTTAATTAAGAGGTAAAGAATTAACAAAATTTACCGCAGGTCCATGTATTATTATTATCCCAATCTCGTGTATTTTACCAGTAGAATCGAGTGTTTATTGCAGTGACCTCGTAATAGTGCGTTGATATTCATGGATAGTTTGCCGCTTAAACGTGTGGAGCAACTTTTTTCTTCTGACCTTCTTTTGTCATGGTACTTTAATTTTTGGGTTTCAAGCAAATAGGTTCATGTTATATAATACAGTTCTATAGTTACAGCTAATGAAAGAAATTCACTAAATACAAGATATTAATCAAAATGAAGAAGAACCCTTGTAATTTGCTAACCACGTTCACAGTAATACCGAGTATGTCAAGCAACAGATTTTAATAGTCAAAATCTTGCCAAATTAGCCAAGATATCCTGACTTAATTGAGCGTTTATGATTAGAGTTAGAAAAGAGATAGGTAATAAAAAAGTTGCAACTTGGAGGCTGATTACAGAAAATGGGCAGGATTCACGATTATGTAGGAACATGCTAGTCTCATGCTCTTACGAGCTTAACGTCTAGACAACTGAAACATGATTCTTCAGTGAGAGGTGGTAAATTCGATCGAGCGGCAAATAAGTCATATCATACATTATTCGTTTACAGTGAGCATATTAATATACTAATACCTGAATGCTTCACATTCACTATTACTATGATGTAATAACGTACGAATAACCCAGTTACATCTTTATAAGTTGTATGATTTCACCTGGTCACGCCGCCCAAATGAAGTCGTTCAAAAAAGCCTTTCAGGGCAGATTCACGGTTTGTTTAATAATTCACGCATTCCATCAAACGTGCAAAACACATCAAAAATTACATAACGACACACTCCTTCCCGGTTACCTTTAGTAAGCATTTTCTCCGACTAACGGACGGAATGTAGTTGACCCATGGCTTTACATTCGGTGTACTCTCCGTGCAGACATTTCAAATAAGTCTCTTAGATGGGGCACGTTTAATGAATTGTAATATATAATTTATACAGTCACGACCGACGCGACTTATGAACTCGAAGCTTGCAACGAGTTATAAAATAAATACGACTGCGACGCTAAAATCGATGTACGCTCGCTTTATTTAGCACCAATTCTTTAGCCGTTAACGCTTATTTTAAGAAAACGCATGCTGGGGCTGGAAATTACACATTACCTGAACTTATCGTTTGGGGAAACGAAAATATATTGTCAACTTGGACTACTGTTCATAACGATTGGGTTATTCAACATTATCATAAACATAATAGTAAAAGTTACTCTCAGCAGCAATTTATTTTGCAAAGATTTAATAAATTTTAGTACTTTTGAGGAAGAAGCTATCTTAGAGCGTTGTATGAAATGGTCCTGTGACTACAGTCAACCCTCTATAAATGCACGCCCTCGGGAATGAGCTGTAGCGTGCATTTACAGAGGGATGCATTTACAGAG